TTTACTGTACAATAAGAAAATATTCTGAACAACTTTATGCCAAATCAGTCAACAACTTAGATGAAACAAGTATCTTAAAAGAAAAACTATGAAAAGTCACTCAAAAATAAATAATCTAAATAGCCCTATAGCAAAGAAACTTATTTTGTGGTTAAAAAGTTTCCCACAAAGAAAACTCCAGATGGATTCGCTGGTAAATCCTACCAAGTATATAAGTACGAATTAATACTAAAGCTACATGAGTCTTCCAGAAAATGGAAAAGAAAAAAAATGTTTCTCATTTGGTGAGATCAGTATTAACCTGATCCCAAAACAAGGCAGACATCACACAAACAATTACATACATTAGTATCCTTCATGAACATATGCAAAAATTCTAAACAAAATTTTAGCCAATCAAGTCCAAGAATATATAAAAAGCATAATATATTATGTCTAAGTAAAGTTGATCCCAGGATGCAAGATTTGTGTAACACTGGCCAATCAATTCAACTCACCATATTAACAATCTAAAAAAGAAAAATCTGGGGCACCTGGGTGGCTCAGTCATTAAGCATCTGCCTTTGGCTCAGGTCGTGATCCCAGGGTCCTGGGATCCAGTCCCCGCATTGGGCTTCCTGCTCAGGGGGGAGCCTGCTTCTCCCTCTCACACTCCCCTTGCTTGTATTGCCTCTCTCACTGTCTCTCTCTCTGTCAGATAAATAAATAAAATCTTAAAAAAAAAAAAAAAAGAAAATCCTATTATCACCTCGATAGACCCAGAAAAAGGATGCAAGAAAATCCATTATCCATTTCTTTTTTTTTTTTTAAGACTTTATTTATTTGAGAGAGAGAGAGAAAGAAGAGCAGGGGAGAGGGAGAAACAGGCTCTCTGCAGAGCAGAGAACCCGATGCAGGACTCGATCCCAGGACCCTGAGATCATGACCTGAGCCAAAGGCAGACGCTTAACGACTGAGCCACCCAGGTGCCCCCCATTATCCATTTCTGATAAAAGCTCTCAGCAAACTGGGAATTTCAACAGCATGATAAAAAGTATCTACCAAAAAAACCTAAAGCTAACACCATATTTAATGGTAAAAGACTTTTATGCTTTTCGCCTAAGATCAGAAACAAGACAGGGTATTAATCTCACTTCTATTCAACATTATACCGGTGGGTCTTGGCTAGTGCAATAAGGCAAGAAAATAAATAAATGGCATGCAGATTCGAAAGAAAGAAATAAAATTGTGATTTGCAGACATGATCAACCATGTAGAAAATCCAATGAAATTTACCTTAAAATGCTGCTATAACTAATAAGTGTATTTATCATGGTTGATTAACAAACATAAATCAATTTTATTTCTATATAGTAGATACACACACAAAAAATTGAATATTGAATTAAAAGTGCTATTTACAGTGGGTCATGCTATTAACTATTCGGATAAATCTGACAGAAGATGTGCAAAATACATATACTGAAAACTGCAGAATATTGCTGAAATACTATTTTAAGGCTTTATAAAAAATGAAATGGTATCTTGGGATTCTTCTCTTCTCAACCTATTTTTAGTTTTTTATTTACTAACCAATGAGTCCATGGCTGCAAATAGCAATAAGTAATAAATGGGGCTAATGTTATTCACCATCACAGAAATTCATACTAAAAAGGAATCTCCAGAATACATGAAATGTGGAAATGTTTCATCTCAATACTTAACTTGGAAAGGTTTAGTCTTTCAACATTTATTTGAAGGCTCAGTAGGCATCAAACATTTTGTTATGCTCTGGTTGAATAAAAGATACATCCCCTGATCTTATGAAGCTGTTACCTAATAGAGGAAAATAGATAATAAACAAGCAAGCCAACAAAGCAAATTACTTAAGAGTTGTAATTAGTGCTATTAAAGTAATAAAGAACACGGAAATGGGGGTGGGTGGGAGGGGTGCTACTTGGATAAGGGGGTTAATAGTTAATAGCATGACCCATTGTAAATAGCACTTTTAATTCAATATTCAATTTTTTGTGTGTATCTACTATATAGAAATAAAATTGATTTATGTTTGTTGATCAACCATGATAAATACACTTATTAGTTATAGCAGCATTTTAAGGTAAATTTCATTGGATTTTCTACATGGATGATCATGTCTGCAAATCACAATTTTATTTCTTTCTTTCGAATCTGCATGCCATTTATTTATTTTCTTGCCTTATTGCACTAGTCAAGACCCACCGGTATAATGTTGAATAGAAGTGAGATTAATACCCTGTCTTGTTTCTGATCTTAGGGGAAAAGCATAAAAGTCTTTTACCATTAAATATGGTGTTAGGGATTTTGAAAGTCTAAGTGGACATTCAAGTCAAAACCTGAAGCAGAAAGAACCAGACTGATAAGGGAAAGATTATTATGGCCAAATAGAACAGCATTTGGGAAAGCCCTGTGTAGGGCAGGAGGAGGTAGGGGGTGAGCCTGACATGTTCCAAACCTCCAAAGAAAGTCAATTTGACTAGAGTGTAGGGACTATTGAGTAAAGGGAAAGATAAGCCTAATGATCTCTTAAGAGAGGTACAAAGCGGTGAGATCACACAGGCTCACACAGGAACTGGTATTTTATTCAAAATGCAACAGGAAGTCATTTTACAGTTTTAACCAGACTACACGCATTAGATTTTCATTTTTTTAAAACATCATCTCTAGTTGTTCTGGTAGAGAATCAATCGGAGGGAATATAATGACCTAAGTTATCACAGATGATTCCCTTTTGCCATAAACACATAAAAGTGCTCAATAACATATAACATGTTTTTATTTAAAAGAAAAAATATAGGGGCCTCTAGGTGGCTCAGTTAGTTGAACCTCCAACTCTTGATTTTGGCTCAGGTCATGATCTCAGTCAGGGTCATGAGACTGAGCCCTGTGTCAGTTTCCACACTCAGCAGGGAGTCTGCTTCTCTCCCTCTGCCCCTCCCCCCACTCATGCTCTCCCACTCTCTCTCCCCCCAAAAAATAAATAAATCTTTAGGAAAAAAAATATATCCTAGAACATAAAAGAAAGCAAAAAGAGATGTAGAAAGCAAACCGAAGGGGGACTCTACCTGAATATAAGTGCTGGAGGTTGGGATTCCTGTACACATTTGAAGACAAGATCGCTGAAATAAAGTTCACAGCCTGGAAAGGATGGTCCATGTGGTAACAGAGGGTTAGAAAAAAACTCAGCCTACTGATAACCTGAGCCCTGATCATATGTGGGGGAGAGATCCAAATTTATATCACAAGTTGAAAAAATTACTTTAAATTTGATTTAAAGCAACTGAAAGTTCTAGCTCCCAGCAAAACCAATCTGCAAAGACAGTCTCTCAACCCAAAATACAGAGGACTTTCACAAAGCAAAAAACTTCTTTGAAGCTAAGCTCCCATTAAAATATTATGTCATCTGAAGAAACCAGTCACCATGTGGGAAAGCCAACAGAAACAATAAGAGTTAGAACCTTGCAAACTGGAAATTGTAATTTTATACAGATGTTTTTTTACTATAATCTCATGTTTTGGTTCTCATTCAAGGCTGATGCAAAACCTTTTAAAATACCGTAATTTCCATCCCTATTAAGATTATTGATAATTCTTGAAATTCACCCAGAGCTAAAAAGAAAGTTTATGTATAAAATTTAACATGGGGCATACAGGGTGCTTCATTTTTACTACATGGCTGATGCTTGTAAATGGGAAACCGAATTAATTACCATTGGTACTGATCCCCACCTGCTAGATAATCCGTATCTTTAAAATATTTAGTCCATGTCCCAAACCTGAAGGACCTGTCTCACCAATCCTTTCGAATTGCACTTTAATTTTCAAATGTTAGGGAAAATGAGTCCACACTTAAAATGAAGCGTTTGTGAACGCTTAAAATTTCAGAAATCACTTCTAAGTTTAAAAGTTCAAAAGTTAAAGAGGAATTCCAAACATCCTTCACCTTCTGGTCACCTATCCAAACCTGAAATATTCATTTCAACTCTTTTCTTGGTGTGGCACTTTATTTTCATTCTACTTCATTTCAATTTGTTTAAAATACTGGCAAGCTAAAGCCAAAAGTCACACTTGGGATTTTGAAATATAAGCCAAAATAATGAGGTTTTTTAAATGCAATATAATGAGAAACATGAAAGACAGAGTGGTCTCTTTTAAATCGTCTTGCTCTATATGCATTCTGCATCTTAATCTTTGATATCTTTCTTGAAATGAGAAAATGGAAGCACAGACTTGTGTTCAAGGTCGAACCAAACAATGAAATTAGGACTCCAGAAAAGCCTAGTGTTTCCCCACACCTCAGCGCCGACATTGTCTTCTCTGAATGAAAAACTGATGAGAGATCATTTTAAAGTAGAGAGATTCAGGTATCCCTTAGGACAAAAGTTATGCGAGAATCATTCACAAAACATGGAGACAACCCACATCGGGATATTTGGGAGACCGAGCTGTGCAGAGAAACCCTGTTACACGTGTCTAGTCCCTTCCCATTATACCCCGGCCCTCTGAAATGTTTTTTCACAACTAAAGGCCTAACTGAACATTCTCTTGCGTCAATTTGCAGGATAATCCCAGGGCAGTTCTGGAAAAGATCTCCACAGGTCCCGAAAGCCACCCTTCCACACCTAGCAAGTAGAGGGCTCCGCCCCATTGACTTCCCAGAGGACCCAGGAGACCGTAGCTACCGCTCTTTTCCGCCACAGACTTGTAGCCACTTCCTAACTGCCTGTTTATCTCCACCCTCATCCCCATCGCCACTTCTCCCCTTATCTTGTTAAGCTACTAACCCAATGAGAATAAGAGACAGGGAAAGAGATCAGACTCAGGTCAAAGACATAAATGTCCCCGCGGCCGAGATTTCCGCATGGAGTTTGTCCGGCACGGCCGGAGGCAACTCGAAGGCAGCTGGGCCCTGCTGCAAGCGAGAGGGGACCTTGTAGCCAGAACTCGAAGCGTTCATTGGTTGGTCGGCCGTGGACGGGAAAAAACCCGGATGTGCCTGGGTAGTCGTGTTGGCAGTCGGGGCTCTGAGGTTTGGGCGTTCTGGGGGTGCTGGCAGCCGAGGCGGATGGCGCGGGGTTGGGCTGGCTTCTCTGAGGAGGAGCTGAGGCGACTAAAGCAGGCTAAAGGTAACGGGACGTGCCGGCAGAGATTTAATCTTTGCGTCTCCTGGGGGAAGGGGCGGGGCTGCAGCGTTTGAGGGGAGAAGGGGGCGGGAAAGAGGGTAATGTGTTGATGTTTGGGGAAGGAGCTATAATGGGAAGAGGGGATTGAGGGGCTCCAGAGGTGAATGTACTGGGAGCCAGGGAGGGAGGGGCGAGTCCAGGGGCCTGGGATTTTCTTTTAGAAAAGGAAGTTCAGGAATCCATTTCAGGGATTTGGATTTGACTTTTTCTGTGAAAGGAATGGGACTTGGGAGAGGAAGTGAGCCTACAGCCTAGCTGTCTCGTATGGGAAGACTGCTGCATAAATCAATGGCTGGAGAGTTGGGGTCGGGTAAAAGAAGGAGGAGGGGCACAAACCATATTAGAATTGTGATGAATTTATCAAAGTTGACAATGGTTGGGAAGAAGGAAGCACAGGGATCTGAATAAACGCAAAGAGACGATGCTTTTCATAATACATCTGGAGTCTTGCATTCACTTCTGGTTGCCAGACGACTTATGTAATTCTAACTCTTGAGAGTGAGAAAACCAAGAGTTTTTGAGAGGCTACATGTGAGATTATACCTGTTGACTTTGTTGTCAGCTAAAAATTTGTGTTTCCCTCGCTGGAACTCGTACTATTTTGTTTTCTTTTAATGAAGGAATAACTTTTGCTGTTATTTGGTGAGAAACTCTTGGTATAAACTATGCTTTGTTTGTGGTTGAAATTTCGTGAAATTCTGTATGGTGATCCTGGTAGTGGACACTACATCACCCTGAGTACCATAATTTATGTACTTTACTTGTGGGAGAAAATTAAATGAGCCCTGGCATGCTTTTTGTTAGAGTTTGTGATCAAATTGGATGTTGCTCAGGTAAGTCTGTGTGTTATTAGCATAGATGTAAAAATAATCTAAGGCTGACAAGTGGAAAAGGAAATAAAGTAGTAACATAAGGCCAGTGTAGGTTATATAGATGGAGGAATTTTTGATTGGTCCAGAGGCCTTTAAAAAATTGTATCATAAAAGTTATACTACAGTGTGTAGTTAATTGACTTTAGCTTGAGGTTCTCAAATTCTTTCGCTGTGTTTTGAACATCCGTTCACATATTTGAAGGTACAGAGTACAAGTATTCCTGCTTTTGGTCTGACCCAAAGTTAGAGGTATCATCTTCTGTATGCACATACTAAGATGAACAAGGCATCATCCTTGCCTTCAAAGAGCTGATAGTCTAATGAGACAAACTATAATATAATGGATAGTAGAAAATTTACAAGAGCTTACTACAGAGCTAGCAGGAACCTGACTGTGCTGGGGGTTGGGTGGAGCTTGGGAAGATTTCACAGAGACTATGTGTTAGCAGAGGTGAGTTTGCCAACTAAATTATAACAGTAGATTCGTTATGTAGAAGTACATTTCTAAATATCTCTTCAATTTGGGATAGAGTGGGGCTGGAAGGACGTTACCTTCAAGGCCTGTCATTCCATAGTGAGATGTTAGAGCATAGACACCAACCACTAGTCTGTGTCCACCCTACATAGCATCTTTGTACACTCATAGCCAAACACAGCGATTGGCATATAGATCTCCTAGCTCTGCCTCTAAATCTTTTGCCTTGAATTTCTCATTTGTAAAACTAGAAAATCTGGATTTTTAATTTTTAAGCCTCCTTCCTTAAAAAGTCTCCAACCTTAAAATATAATTAAGTAATCCATGAAGATGGAGTTGGTTGCCAGCAAAAATAAGCATGACAGTACTCTAGAGAAAACCATATGCACATTAGGAAAGATCAAGAATGTTCTTAGCATTCTTTTTTTTTTTTAAGATTTTATTTATTTATTTGAGATAGAGCGTGTGCACAAGCAGGGGGAGTGACAGGCAGAGGGAGAAGGAGAGGGAGAAGCAGACTCCCTGCAGAGCAGGATTGACGCAGGGCTCAATCCCAGGACCCTGGGATCACAACCTAAGCTGAAGGCAGATGCTTAACCCACTGAGCCACCCAGGTGCCCCTGTTCTTAGCATTCTTATTTATAGTATTAAAAAGGTAGGAACAAACCAGTTGTTCATTTAAAAAAGTGGATAAATAAATTGTAATATAACCATCCATTGGGCTGCTATACAGCTATGGGAATATATGAAGTATACCCACATGCATTAACGTGTAAATTTCATAAATATAATGCATGAAAAGAGCAAGTTGCAGAAGAACAACCTGATACATTTGTAGAAGATCAAAATGATACAAAGCAGGTATATTGTTTTGGGAAAATAGGACATCAAAATACAGGATACTAGAAAGACAAGGGAATATTATCAGGAAGGGGCAAATACATAGGGAATTTCAAAAGTGTTGGTAATAATGAAATCAAGTTGAGACAAGTTACGCTACAGTAACAAAGAGCCCTAATATATCAATTGTTTAAAATAATAAAGATTTATTTTTCACTCTAGCTTCATGTCTAATATGGACTGGCAGGTCACTCTTTTCCACATAATTACTTCACGTTGTGTTTTGGTGCTATCATTTAGGAATTCACCATGGCATGAGAATTGAGCATTGGCAACTAAATGCTTCCATCAGTAAATGATAGGTGTCACTCATACTTACATTTCATTTAACAAAAGCAAGTAGTATGATTTGGAGGGCAATAAATACAATTATCTTATGTGTTCCAAAAGAGAGGATAACATGTCTATCATTGAATAGCAGTTATGTCTATTATAGTCATGTTTTATTTGTTAAAATGTTGCTATTTTTAATAATCCATACAGGTTGGATATGTGTCTATAACACATACATGTATTTGATGTATGACTTATTTCATACTAAAAAACTGGAAATAAAAAAAAAAACAGTGCCATTACAGTGCCGCCAATGTCTAAAGAAAATATTCATGAGTTATTTATTCTTGATACTAGTTCTTTGCCAGGTATATTATGAATATCTTCTCCTCTGAATATCTTCTCCTAGCTTGTAACTTATTTTTTAACTTTTACCTTTTGATGAACAAAGTATTTAATTTTAATGTGGTCAAATTCGTCAACATTTTTGTGTCTTAAGAATTTACTACCCTGCCATTAGGTGGTAGTACCCTATCATAAGATATTAATCCTTATACTCAATTAAGAGGTTTTTTGAAGTTTCTTCTTTTTTTTTTAATTTTATTGTTATGTTAGTCACCATACATTACATCATTAGTTTTTTTTTTTTTAATTTTTTTTAAAGATTTTATTTATTTATCTGACAGAGAGACCGCGAGAGCAGGAACACAAGCAGGGAGAGTGGGAGAGGGAGAAGCAGGCTTCCCGCCGAGCAGAGAGCCCGATGTGGGACTCGATCCCAGC